GGGTTTGATTCCAGTCAAGGGCACATGCCCAGGGTGCAGGCTCGATCCCAGTAGAGGGTGTGCAGGAGCAGCCGATCAGTGATCCTCTCTCATCATGATGTTCTCTCTCTCCTCTCCTGCTCTCAACCAATAAAAATATATATAAAAAAGAAATTCTTGACATTTCGTTACTAATTTCATTCTTTTTTTAAAAAATGAAAGACATTTTTTGTTTGTGTGTGTGTGTGTTTTTAATTGATTTTAGAGAGGGAGGAAGAGAGAGAGAAAGAAAAAGAGAAATATTGATCATACCCACAAACCTAGGTATGTGCCCTGACAGGGAATTGAACCCCTTTCAGTGCACGGATAATGCTCCAACCAACTGAGCCACACTGGCCAGGGCTAACTCATTTCATTGTTTTTAAAATATATTTTTATTGATTTCAGAGAGGAACGGAGAGGGAGAGAGAGATAGAAACATCAATGATGAGAGAGAATCATTGATTGGCTGCCTCCTGCACGTCCCTTACTGGGGATCGAGCCCACAACCTGGGCATATGCCCTTGACCGGTATCAAACCCTGGACCCTTCGGTCCGAAGGCCAACGCTCTATCCACTGAGCCAAACCAGCTAGGGCTCATTTCATTCTTATGTCAACCTTGAGGGGTGGGCACTCTTATTTGCCCAGGGTCACACAAGGGGAAGGCTTGCTGGCAGAGGGCACAGCAAGTGCAAAGGAGACAGTGGGTATGAAGTTGTTTGAGATGTGAGATTGTTTAAGGTTGTTTTATGGTTTGAAATAATAAAAATCCTAGGAGAAAACAGACAGTAAAATCTCAGACCTTTCTCATAGGAATATTTTTTCTGATATATGTCCTCGGGCAAGGGAAACAAACAAACAAAAATAAACAACCTGGCTGGTGTGGCCCAGTTGGTTGAGCGTCATCCCACACACCAAGAGGTCCCAGGTTCTTCCTGGTCAGAGCACACGCTTGGGTTGCAGGCTTGATCCCTGGTGGGGGGCATGTAGAAGGCAGCTGATCAATGATTCTCTCTCATCATTGATGTTTCTCTCTCTCTCTCTCCCTCTCCCTCTCTGAAATCAATAAAAAATATATTTTAAAAAAGTTTAAAAAATCAAGTATGTATGAAAAGTTTAATTTCACAGAAAAGTTTTCTATATATAGTGCTATAATTTTAAATTTATACTAAGTCTAGTAAATGTGTGCATTCACCAGTCACTGGGAGTAAACAAATGTACAAGGCTGGGGCGTGGCTCAGCATGTGGGAACATTGCTGGCGCGAGTTAAACTGCTGCAGAAACTCATGCCAGGGACCACAGAACCAATTACTTCGCACAATGCGGTGTGATCACGTGTTAATCATTCGCCGTACATGGTTTATGAGTGGTAACTCTTGGATTTAAATATATATGTAAACTATAGTTATAGATATGTAATATTTATTTTATGTCTGTGAAATTACTATTTTTCCCCAACGTATGGCCTATTCACTAACATTTGTTAAAAATAGTGCTTGAGCCTGGCCAGTGTTGCTCAGTGGTTGAGCGTTGACTTATGAACTAGGGGGTCACACAGTTTGATTCCGGGCCAGGGCTCAATCCCCAGTAGGGGGCGTGCAGGAGGCAGCTGATCAATAATTCTCTCTCATTGATGTGTCTATCTTTCTCTCCCTCTCTGAAATCAATAAAAATATATGTTAAAAAATAATAAAAATATCTTTAAAAAATAGTGGGTGAGCCCTGGACATTGTGGCTCAGTTGGTTGAGCATTGTCCTGTGCATCAATAGGTTGCTGGTTCAATTCCCAGTCAGGGCATATGCCCCAGCTGTGGGTTTGGCCTTCAGTTGGGGTGTGTACAGGAGGCAACTGATCATGTTTTTCTCTCACATTAATGTCTCTCTCTCTCTCTCCTCTCTCTAAAAATAAATTATAAAACAAACAAACAAATAACAGTGGGCACTCTCCTTTCAGGGAGTACACCTGTGCCATTCTCTCTCCCCTCTCCTTCCCCCACAGGCACGTATCTTCTAAACTCCAAGGGACCCCACGAGACTTGCAACCAGGGGAGCAATGGGCAGTGGCAGCTCCCCACTACTCCCCCAAACC